ATAAATAAATCTAAAATCCAACAACTGAAGCTCAAAATGAATAAAATGATAAAGTAAAATCAGGAATCAAAAACCAAACCTAACCCAACGAGCCGAAGCCTAAAGCGCTGGAAGAGCAGGAGAGCTGCACGCAAATTAAAACATAATAATAGTGAACAGGTATACAACACTACAACACCACCACAAAAAACAACTTTGGTGGACTGCAGAGCGGAGTCGCGCTATCAGTCCATTAAATATGGCTCACATACACCAAAGTCTTCGAGCTCAACTTCATGATTCATTGGTCAGAAATGGACAAAAAGTCATAAAACTTAGAAACTATGATGGTTAAAAGTTTGTTTTGTATTGTGAACATTTCAATTCAATTTTATTTATTTCTACAGCGCCAAATCACAACAGTCACCTCAAGGCGCTTTATATTGTAAGGTAAACCCTACAATAATACATACAGAGAAAAGCCAACAATCATTAGACAGTACTGCATGAAGATGTAAAGTATCACATCATATTTGACCTCAGTTTTTCAGGGTTTTTTAGTAAAAAATAAATAAATAAAAAAAATCACATTGATAATGCAGAGATCTGAAAAACTCCCAAAAGCTGATATCAAATATAATACAGTTTGCATTGCTTAGGCCAGCGGTCCCCAAACCCCGGGCCACGGACCGGTACCAGTCTGTTAGTCGTTTGGCTGCAAGAGTTGAGGCTCCGGTGTGAAATTTATGGTTTTCAGGGTTTTTAATCATGATTAAATCATTATTAAATCATGACTGGTGATGGCAGCTACATTGTAGCCACAGCCACCCTGGGGCGCACTGACAGAGGCGAGGCAGCCGGACACTGGCGTCACCGGGCCCTCTGAACACCACCAGTAGGCAACGGGTGAAGTGTCTTGCCCAAGGACACAACGACCGAGACTGTCCAAGCCGGGGCTCGAACCGGCAACCTTCCAATTACAAGGCGAACTCCCAACTCTTGAGCCACGATCACAACATCTTTAAGGCCAGTCTGTGAAAATATTGTCTGACATATTCCGTGTTGGTTTGGGGACCGCTGGGTTAGATTACATTTAAAAAAATATAACCCTATTCCATTAAAAGTATATACTGGCGTTAGCTGCACTGGCGGAGGGTTGTGCTCTCAGACTGCTTCTGGTTTGTGATGCGTTTGAGATGCGAATGATCATACAGGAAGTTGTGATGCGCAGGTCCAGAGTTTGAAGGGATAAGATGAGATGGAGATGACACTTTGCTGAAATCGTGTAATCTTTCCGTGTCATCTTCAGCTGATCCAGTGATTTCCTCACTGATTACAGCTCCAAGTATTTTAACTGTCTCACAGTATCACTATCAGGAGGTCCATCATTGCGTCCAGTCCTCTTCTTGAAAGTTCTGCTGGGACCTAGCCGTCTTATTGCTGCCTCATACCCAGCATGCATTTCAACATTAAATAACCATCAGCTGGCGGTCTTCGTTAGATAGACGGTTAAAAGAATTTCGTTAAAAACTTAGAGTCAGTATCTGCTTGACGTACTTCTCGGATGTGTTTGTCTGTAGAAACATTTCCAGAAACAAAAACTTTGTGTTTGAGAACTCTTTCATGGTTTTCGTGACATCAAAGGAAGGTGATAGTTGTCACAGTCCACGCAACGAATTATTCTTTACATGTACATCAATGTCTGTGTACACTGTAACCAATGATCTGACAGAGATTTCTCACTTAGTAAGAGATGATTTGACCTTCTACGTGAAAACGTCAAACATCCTCCACGGTTCAGATTTCGCCACCACGCTGCGACCACCTTTCACAGACATAACGCTGCTGTTTCAACCGCGTTTGCAGTGACACACGTAAATTCATTTAGGAAAATAAAAGCGCAGCCACAACTCCAGATTGCAACAGCAGGTTTGTTTGATTCATGCAAGTTTCTGCAGATGTTGTGCTCTAAACATGAAGTATTCCCTCAGAGTGCAGCTGCTGCATCCCTTCACCACTGCTGGGAAAATCTCTCATGATCGTCTGACAGCAGAATGAATCATTACTTTAGCAATGAGTTCCGCATTAGCTCTGCAACAGCTACTGCAGCAACTCTGGGACCCTAAACGGGGTTCATCAGACCGGATCTGGACCTGTGGGAACCCTTAGGATACTTCCCATCTTTGTGTGGACTCTCAGTCATCCCACTAAGCCTGAACCTGGCTCTAACCCCCCAAAGTCAGGCCTGAACTCTCAGGAGAGGCCCAGATTAAGGACTGGACCCCGTGTCCTCAGAGCGATACAGAAAACAGTTGACACGCCGAGCTGCTGTGGTTCTGTTCCCCTGATTCAATTATTCTACAAACAGCACCACATGACAGCTTTCAACCACTGAAGCTAAACGTGGAGGTGTCATGTGACCTGTCTGACCTCAGCTTCACCAGAGAGCGAGCGAGCGAGCGTCACGTTTAATTAGATTGAGTCTAATGTAATGAACTATGTCTCTCTGACCTTCAGCCACAAACCTCTGGAATCCCAAAGACCTGAGCATGAACCACATGCTGCTTTAGTCGGTTGTTCGTGGGCAAGTTTCATAAAGCAAACAATCAATAATACAATCAAATCAGCTCCCAGATAACGAGGCAGCAAAGCAAACACAGCCTGAGAGAGGGGGTGTCAAACATGCGGTCTGGGCACCAGAACGACCCGCCAGAGAGTGCAGAGCGGCTCACTGGATACGGATCGCTTTGCATAGTGTGGCAACAGTTGTATTTTAACCCAAAACATGATATTTCTCTAACCTAACCACGTGGGTTTAATGCCTAACCCAGAATATTGTTAATCAGCTCATATCAGACCAGATACATGAAGATTCGTATGCAGAAACAGATTCTGTTGCGAGACTGTCCGAAAAACTTCACATGGTGCATGACAAGGAAAACACAGATAAGTATAAAATAAAAATACTGAACTATAAATGTTGCACCAGCTGCAGGACAGTATAACTGCACAGAATATAAGCTAGTTCCTGGACGCCTCCCACATGGAGGCTGGGGCAGACCCAGGACATGCTGGAGAGATTATGTCTCTCTGCTGGTTTGGGAATAACTCTGTGTCCCACCGGATGAGCTGGAAGAGGTGGCAGGGGTGAAGGAAGTCTGGGCTTCCCCATTAGACTGCTGCCCGTACCCGGATAAATGGCAGAAAATAGATGGATGGATGGATGATCTACAACATATGATGGATATTTAATTGTGACGGCTTTCAGAGTGTGCTGCTTTATGTTTAAAAATAAAAGCAAACTGTCATACTTTTGCTGCTCAGAGATTAGAGCTTTTATGTTTCTGTTTGTTTAAACAGACGAGCAGAAAAATGAAAGTAGAGGCAGGACATGGAGCTGCAGAGACCAGCCGCAGCATCGCACCAATCACCACCATGACTGTAACTTTCACTGCGGGCAGCAGCGATGAAGGTTAAATAAACTCATCCTGCTTTCAGTGGCCATTCAGTGAGTCTCTACAGCCATGGCTCAAGTTTAAATGACAAAGAGACAAACACTCAGGCTTCTGACGGCAGACCTGTGTGATGTCACAGAGATGACATATACCTAATATGGTCATCTCAGGAGCAGAAGCCCCACCAAACACTAAGGACGCCGTGGTAATTTAGCGCTTTGTGAATCACCTTGTTGGTGCAAAAATATTATTTTGTGCCTCTCAGATGTGTTATCTTTGGGGGTTTTTTAATAAATGTAACTAAAGAAATGCAAACAAACTGTGTTCTTGTGACAGGCAGAGAAAAATATTTCAAAAATGTCCAGAATTTGGTGTAATGTGCTGGAGCCAGACCCTGAACTTCAACAGGTAACAAACTGATGAGGAGTCAGTCTGCAGAGTCCGTTTGTACCTGTTAATGTTTCTACAGGAGAATCACCATGGCGATCTCATCTAAGTTTCTTTGTGAAGGTTTTCATCTTTGCTTTGCGTTCATACCTAAATACTAAGAGGAAGCGCTTATGCGTGTCCTTATTAGGACACGTGACGGCAGCCAAAGGTTTATATTGTTAAGTGCTGATTATGACACAATTCAGGTCATTTTACGGAGAAACTGGAAAGTAATGTAACAAATTACTTTCCCCAGTGAGTAATTAAAGTACTGCATTACTTTTAAGAAAAGTAATAAGTAATGTATAATGGCTTGAGTAATGATCCCAACAATGCTGATGTGTAGACACATCACTGGTTCGTCCATTGAATTGGTGACTTTTTATGCTTGAATGAGTCACAGGTCAGTGTTAAGTGGTTCCACAAACAAACAGCCTCTGAAACTGGTCAGGTACAAGGATCCGACTGCAAATAACTGAGAAAGTCCAAAGGAAAAAGTTTTAAATACTTTCAGAAAGCCTGGAGAAGTACTGTTCAGAACCACTTTTTTTAAACTACAAGGAAGAAATTTTGGCTCACTGGAAGCAAAATGTGAAGAAATGAGGCCAACGCAAGACTTCTGCACAGCACTTTAAAAATTCCAGATATTTTATCTTCTCGGAACCAGCTGCTGACACCATCCCTATAAAAATGTGCAATTTCTGCTGAGTTAAAGGCACTTTTTGTAATTACCCTCTGCAGAATGCGTCAAATAAGATTAACCTCCAGGGGGCAGCATTTTACCAGATGTGTTTACAGATGTGTTGTTTTTTTCCCCCCTTCTATTCTTTTGACATTTCTTTTTACTTTTTCCTCCATTTCCTTAAGAGGCTTTGGCATTTCCCACGCTGCCACTTTAAACAATGTTTATGATGACTCACCTGTAAAGGTTACGGTGAATCGCTGCACCATCTTGTGGTACAGTCTGGCATTACATGAAAGTACAGCCCAGCCCTAGTTTAACTTCAGCTCATTGCTCAATAACACAACATGCAGACAGAGCTGTGGTTAAATCTGGAAGCTTTCAAACATTTTAAAAACACATACATTCACAGTAAGTGCCTTTAAACAAATACACAAAAGCTGCAGTGCACTCACCTGTCCTGCAGGTGGCGCTGCGGCTGCCATGTGGTGGTGTGTTGAGGTGGTAGGAGAACCTCATGGTGCTGAACTGACTGGAGAAGGAGGGAGCAGGAGGAGCAGGGAGGCTGAGCAGAGTGCTGCGAGGTCGGTTCAGCTGCATGCCTGCACAGGTACGTCACTGCACACCTGTACGCAGGTCAGGGTTTATTCAGTTCATTCTCCACTCATGAGATTTTTCCTTCTCTTTTGTCTTTTTATTTTAAAATATGAGTGTTTGTTTTTGAATCAGTCACTTTCTGCTTGTTCAGAGTCAGTTTTGCTCTCAGAGAAATCCACACAGGCGCACTCGGCATCGGTTATCTGCTTCACTCTTTTCTCCATTCAGGAAAATGAACTTCAGCTGCGACTCTCTGGTGGTTCACTCTCTGGCTGAAGCCATGTGGAGGTCAAAAATGTCTCACCCTCCTTCATCCTCCCCCTCTCGCTCCCATCTTTTCCTCTTTGTCACTCTTTCAGGAATCTAAACGTTACCAGTCTCCGTGCCTCCATCTCCACGTCACGTATCCGCAGAAACAATCAGAGGAATCCGGCTGATGTGGTTTTCAGATTAAAAACCTTCCCCGGGTGTGCCGACTGAGGGTTTCTGTCAGTCCAGCTCCTCCGAGATAAAGCTGAGGAACAACTTTTGAGGATCCAGAAACCTGAAATCAAACGTCTGTAGGAGCTTTAGAGCACAATGTGCAGACTCAGCTCTCCTCCTGCTCGAGTGCCTCCACCTTTTCTGATTTCTGCTCCTCCTGCTGCTTCGGTTTGACCCCCTCTGAAGACTTTTTGCTCTTTCTCTTCAGCGTCAGTTTGTCCAAACAGACAGACAGACAGACTGGCTGTCGGTTGGCCGTCTCTCGGCAGCTCCAGGCTTTTGTGTGAAAGTCTGATCTGAGCTGCAGACCGACACCACAACTCCTCCTCCTCCTCCTCCGTCCAGACATCTGATCCCAGAGCAGCTCCCCTCCTCCCTCTCTCCTCTCCCTGTGGTCTGGTTCTCATTTTCTCTGTTTTCTGAGGCTGAAATTTGAAGCAAAAGGAAAACTTTGGAGAAAAATTCCAGCAGGATATTTTAAATTTTTCCCCTTTACCAACACCAGAGTCTGAGCTCCACTTACTCTCCACCACTCATGACTCTGCTTTTTCTCTTTCTAACAGAAGCACAGATTCAAGTTTCAGGATGATGTGAGCAGCAGCTTTCAACCACCAGGGGGCTCCAACCCTTCATTCCACATGTCCCTGCTGCGCTCGGAGCCTCAGTCTGAGATCGTAACAAAGGTCACATTTCAGTGGTTTTAAGATCCGTCCACAGACGGGAGCAGACTCCCAACATGTCAAAACATTTTCTTCAGGCAGAGCAAAGATCTGCTGCCACCTGGTGGGACATGCTGACATATTTAAATATCCTGCTTATTATTTTGCTTGATCAGCTTTCCGCAGCATATGCTGCTCTGGCCTCTTTTCTCATGCTCTGTCTGAAAGCCTCTGTTTTAGCTCCCGTCACTTGAAAGGACTGAATCTGGTCTTTTTGGACTCTTAACTGGGAACTTGAAGCTTTAAGTGCTTTTTACCCATCATGCACACACATGGGTTTCATCATCAGTGTCATGCATGTGGAGTCAAACCACTGACCATCTCCATGAAAATTGCCAGAAGAAAGTGGATCACCCTATGATGTCCATTCACTCTAAACTATGCCCGGGTAATGTCAGGGGTTCTCTTGTGTGACCAACAGTAGCTGTTACTGTGTCTCTGTATGGATGCTGGTGCAGCGTGTGAATGACACACAGCCAGGACACACTGAAGAGATCATCTCTTGGCTGGTTTGGTATTACCAGATGAAAATTGCTTCTGTTTCTGCCGGTTTACCATGTTGGCTAAGGTACTGCACTCCACACCAAGTGTTTTTTTACTGTTATGAGTGCAGTATCACAAAGCTGTGGATTTCCCTCTCATCTACCTTAGAGACTAGATGAGGAGCTCGTTCAGGAGAGGAAGAGTAGAGCTGCCAGCAGCCAGATGAGGTGGTTTGAGAATCCTCCGAGGCGCCACCCAGGTGAGGTATTCCAGACATGTCCTAATGGGGATCGGGGGGTGAGGTGTCTCTGTTGCGGACCCAGGACGCGCTGAGAGATTAGATCTCTCGGCTGCCTTGTGAACACCTCACTGTCCCCTCAGACGAGCTGGAGGAGACGGCTGGGAGGAGCGAGGTCTCGGCTCCTCAGCTTAGACTGTTGCTCCTGCAACTGTAGCCATACTTGACAGTTTGGATGCACTTAAGCACTCAGAGCGGTGAATACAAGTAACAAAGTATGTGATTTGGGACACAACATGTGAGTTTATCAAAACTCTGAAGTTCAACACAACCTTCGTACCAGAAACTACCTTTGCCAATTTTTTACATGCACTAAAACAAAAAACAACGTGTGTGCCGTAAACTCCAATCAGCTTCATCTCAGAAAACATTTCAAAAACAGACATTTTACATCTCATCACTTTGAGATGTTTTTTTGTTTTAAATCTAAAAACATTTTATTTAAATTTACGAAAACAGACAAAAACAAAAAAATAAGTAAAATTATGTTTCCAGTAGAAAAATGAGAACATAAATGATGAGTCAGTGAATGTCCGACCTTCTGCTCCTCAGGCTGTAACGAGGCTGAACATCAGGGTGGTGATGAAGAGGAGGACGGACAGGAGAAGAGACGCGAGAGCAGAGGTCAGCATCACAACAAGGAGGGAAATCATGTTTCTAATGTTTACATCACACAATATTCCTAAAATGTCCAAAAACAAAATGTTTTTCCAAAGAAAATGTAAAAACACTAAACATCAAAAAATGAATAAGAATAGTCAAATCAGGCCCACTGAACGTGAACATAATATTCTGATAGTTGATGTCATGTTTAAGAGAAAATAAAACGCGACATAAACTCTGGTTTCTAATCGATCAGATTCACAGCTCGTCGATATTTCCCAGTCCGTGTTTGCCTCTGTGAGTTTCCGGGTTTACAGAATCAATATTTAGCTTTGAAGAATTTTGGTTGTTTAACCCTACAGATCAATACTCGATAATCAGCCCTCCCTACCTGTTTGTCCTCCACCAGGATGCTGTACACCAGTGGGGAGGAGGGGGGAGACCGAGGACGGCGAGAGGATGAGCGACGAGGACGCCTGCCTGGACTCTGACGCACTAAGGCGTTGTGGGAACCGTTCCTGAGGGTGGAGTCGGCTGATGAGGCGTTCTCGGTGCTGCTGAGGATGCTGTCGCTGCTCCAACCTGCAGCACAAAAAGACGTAGAAGAAGAAACCATGTGGACAGCTGTGCCACATCTGCATCTCGCTAATTAAACTCAAACTGTTTAAGTTTGAAGCTAATTGACTAAACTAACTCTTTAATTATAGATTATTGAGATGTCACAGCTGACATACGTAACACCAAAAGCAGTTACGATAAACTCAGCTTAAACTGACTCTAGGTTCACTTTCACACAGACTTCAATACAACTTCTGAGTTATTTCGCCCCCTGCTGGTCATCAAGAAGGATGGTTTTAGGCACATCCACACCCGCATCACTGTTTTAGACACAGAAGCTTCAACACCAAAGAGCCACAACAGCCACAGCGCAACTTCAAACAGCTAATAAATCGAGTAGTTTTGTTCTTGATATAAACAGAAGACAGAGTCAGTGGTGCAGAGATAACAACTTGCTCCTGAACACCTCCCAGGCAAAAGAGCTGATCATCGACTTCAGGATGAAATAAATCAATAATTAAGCCTTTAATAACGAGCAGGAACTCCGTGGAGAGGGTCACAGACTTCCAGTTTCTGGGAGTTTAGATCAAGGACGACCTGAGCTGGGCCAGAAACACCACAGAGCTGTTTAAGAAGGCATCGCAGAGACGCTACATCTTCCAGAGGCCGAGAGATTTAAAACATACTGTTCTGTGTGTGCTTTTCCCGTGGGACAGAAAAAGGGACATCATTGACACTGGACGTCCTCTCGCTACTCTGGAGGAACCTGCGTAGTTACTGCTGTCGGAAAAACACAAATTCAACATAATAACATGATAAAGGATCAATCTCACTGTTAGCATCAGACAGTGTTGAAGTGTCCTCATGAATGTGCTCTTTGCACTAAACGAGTTGTGTAATTTGGGAGAATGGAGAAAGATAGTTTGTCTCCTTTGTCTTTATCTCTTATATAGTTTAATATCATTTATACACCATTTTTATTATTGCTGCGAGTGATCATTGCGCTCCTGATTGCACTTAATTTCACTGTACACGTTACAGTGACACTAGAGTTATTTTATTCTTTTGTTGCATCAGTATTTGCAAACCAGAAGGATTGCAGAGGAGCTTAAATGGCACACTTTATGTGACGTCTGCCAGCTGGATGTGTATCAGCTGAGCCTGAACCAATGCTACAATGGCCAAGAACAAAGTCGGAACTTATTAACCATTTTCCTTCCTCTGTGAGTGTGCAGACTGCAAATCCAACTGCAATCAGATTCAGTCCTGACACAACACAGACAAAGACAACTTTCTCGCCCTTTGGCAGATGGATGGATGGATGGATGGATGGATGGATGGATGGATGGATGGATCAACAACTACTGACCGAAGTGCGAGAGGTTCGATGGGTCTGAGCCACCGGTGGTGGGATATATGTCCTCCCTGTCTTCCTCTTCTCTTCTTTCCTCCTTCCTCCTCAGCATCTCCTCTCTTCTTCTGCTCTCTGATCTCATCTGGAAAACACGACACAGCTGATCTGGAACCAGTGGAACGGACTCAGAGCGTAACCTCTCCTCTGCTAGCAGGCGTGTACACCTGAACTGTCTCCTGATGTTCTCACCTTCACAGGAAGCTGATCGTCCTCTGCCGTCCTCCGTCGCTCCCCTAAACTCTCTGCAGACAAAGTTTTCTCTTCAGTAAATTATCTGCGCCAATCAAACTCACTGGAATCTATGAAAACCTCCAACCAGTTGAAGACATCCACTGTGACACCACCAACAGCTAATCGAGCACCACCATGTTGGCTTTTTTGGATCTCAACGTCCCGTTATGCATTCATAAAGAAATCACAGAAATAACCTGGGTGGCCTTCATAGTGCCTACTTCCATCTTTTGTATACAGTCTACAGTTTTCCCAAGTGTCTGCCTGCTGGCTGAACTCACCTGCATGCTGCAGCGCCTCCTGCAGGCTCCTCTGAGTCTCTCTGAGCTGCTGCAGCACCTGCAGACTCTGCTGCACCGGGTCCCTGTAGCGCACACACACCACCAGCAGAACACACACTCCAACACACACCATGAATCGCCTCAACGCACTCACGTACACAGTGAGCAGCTCCTGAACGCAGGAAAGAGTGATGAATGTGTGCATCATGTCAAAGGTTAAAGCATCAGGTGAAGCTCAGGTGAGCATACTGACCATGTGTTGGTGCTCAGGATTATCAGAGCTCAGCACAAACTGGTAGATCTTTCTCTCCAGGTAGAAATTCAAACATACTAAACTCAACAACACCAACCTAAACACACACACACACACACACACACACACACACACACACACACACACACACACACACACACACACACACACACACACTCTATCAGTTACACGTTAAAACCCAGCTCTGTGCAAAGGCGGGGAAGGGAGGTGGCGTTACCTGGCTCTGGAGGAGCGTGGGGTGGAGGTGATGAGGAAGGAGGTGCAGAGGGCAGCGGCGTTGTAGCAGCAGGAGCTCAGGCTGCGAGTTTCCATCAGAAGGAAACTCTGCAAAAAGGAAACTCTGTTGAAGAGTTCGGACAGCGCCACCTGCTGCTCCCTCGAGGTGCTGCTGAGCTCTGAGAACACAGACCGCAGACCTGAGCAGGGGACAGGTGGAGAGAGGCGGAGGAAGTGAGTCTTTCAGGTG